CACTCCATAAGCCATTGATATTTGACAAGTAATGATCTAAATTATTATTATAGTATTGATCTAAATTATTTTCAATATGATATAAATAAATAATCAAGTGCTAGACAATAAAACTCGGGCGAAGTCAATTTATTAAAAGTACATTGCGATAGTTTGTAAACATGGACGATACCATAGGAGTACCAATCTCACATTTTACCTAACTTAATTAACTTCAACATCATTTGCATACAGTAAAGATACAAAAACAAATTCAAATCACAGACATTGAGCATATCATTAATAATTAATTAACATATAAACAAATGATAAAACAAAAGGCATATAATATAGGACCTAGAATGTTGCCATTTGGTTAGAGAGCTTAGTAGCTCCTTATTAGTTAAAGCTGAAATCTGATTTTTTCTCTTTTGACAATCTAATTTTAGTACTCTTTACCCTTTTACAGAAAGCCTTATTATTAATTTGAATAATCCAGATTCAATTAACCAGTTTCATGTTGACATCATATGTTATGTTATATAACTTTCTATTTAAGAGCATCTTTTCTAGGATACCTTGTCAAAAATGCTTTCTTTATTCCATATGTTCATCAGTTTTAAAAGTTATATTACAGCAGATTTTTTAATAGTATTATAACCACATTGTCTATAACAATCCCTTAACTGTTTTCTTCAAAATATTTACTCAATGCGACCTAACAAAAGATTCCAACAACACTGCTCATTGTAACAGGTATATAATTACATTAGAGTAACAATGTTGTTTCATAAAGCACCTGGGATCAAGCGATACATCTGTAAAGCACTGAACAAATAGATTAAATGATCTGAATGATCAACAACTTTTTTTTAAATTTTGTTGTAGATGCCATTTATTCTAGCTGAATTGTTGATGGCTAGTCTGCTAATATGTTGCAATACTTGTTCTACATTAACAATTCATTTTTTAAAATTTTCTTTATTAGCCTTTATTATTGCAGCTCTGACATATGCAAAACCACTTACAATGTTACAGATATGTATTATCTATATATCTTTTATTATGTTCTTCAAATCCTCATCTATTGATTTGAAGCAGCCATCTTCGCCACAAAGACTGTTTATTTTTTTCACATGACGTACACATGTATTTATGTGCACGCGCAAGCACCGCATCATATACGCTTAGTATATGATAGTCATTGAGATGTTTGACTCAGCGCGCATTTGAACCACTGAGCCATCTCGCAATCCAACATGCGACAACTTATGTCGTTGACCCATTTACCAACCTCGAAAGGATGGACGGCTGGGTTGACCGGGGGTCCCTACCCGGATGAACCTGCAGAATTTGAACCCGGGTTGTGGGAGTGGTAGACGGACACGCTAACCACTCGGCCACTCAGCCCAGTACATTGTCTTCATAGTCCACACCAACAATATAAACTGAACTGTAAATGTTCCTAAACAGTTAACCTTGTTTACTTTATTTGTTAATTACACTTTTTTATTACTATCCTGGTCAATTAAGCATTCAGTCATCAATTTACCCTTCATCATTCTATTAATATGTTATAAAAATCTTTGAGATTATTCTTGATTTTTTTCTTAGAATAAATTTCTGTTGATCCTTAAACAATTTTAATCCATGCTTTGTCTTTTTCCTGAAACCATTGCATTTTGATTCTCCTTGTATTACTTCCATTAGCCTCTTTTTTATTTTGATGCATCACAGGACGCAACATTTTAATTTATTGGGGAATCAGGAGTGGCCTTGTTATCGCAGGGTATCAAAGTCAGATAAAAAATTTTTCTACTCTGACTTCTAAATTGAAACTTTCCGACTTGATGTAAAAATTTCTGGCTCCAGGTTTTCAAAACATTTTTCAACTTTTTCATCATAATTTACTTAAAACAACAACAGCAACAACACACGTTTAGACGACATTAGATCGGGGGTTGCCGTTTGGCTACCTATGATGAAACCGAAATACCCCTCGACGCCATCTACATCTGCCACTCGCCTCAGTATCACGCAACCCCGCTTTCACCCTGTCCTTCTCCACCTGCTCTCTCCATCCCAATCGCGGACGACCCCTTCCTACGACTCCTTCAACCTCGAACTCCAACGCTCGCCTAATCCCGACCCTTTCATCCCTTCTCAACACATGTCCATACCACCGCAATCTCGATCTCCTTATTAATGTCACAAAGTCCTCATTCAGTCCCATCATTGACATCAGCTCTGTGCTACTCCTCCTATCCTTCACTTTAATCCCACACATCATCCTCACCATAGCTCTTTCAGCCCTCTGCAGTACACTTTCCTCCTCTCTCCTCAACACCCAAGTTTCACCACCATATACCATCGCTGCTCTCACACATGCTTTATATACCCTCCCTTTCATCTTCACTGACCATTTCTTTCCACACAATACCCCACCCAGTTCCCTAAATTTCATCCATCCCACACGAACTCTAGCCGTAACTGCGTTCAAACATCTTCCATCCGCGTTCAGCTTATCCCCTAAATAAACAAAACTTTCCACTCTTTCAATACCACCACTCAACTCCGTCCTTGCGTCCGTCCTATTAATCACACCATGAACACATTTCTTACATTTGAACGTGCCTTCCACCTTTTTCAGTGCCCCCCTCACACCACTACATCTCTTATGCACCCACTTCTGACATCCTATATACAATACCGTTAGCCTTCACTTTCCTGTCACATACCCCACAGGGATCTATTTTACTTATCACTCGCTCCCCACCTTCCCCACTCACCATTACCTTCGTCTTACCAATATTAACTTTTAACCCTTTCTTTTCAATAACACTTCTCCATCTTTCAAATTTTAACTGCAATTCTTCCATGCTATCAGCCATCAAGACTAAATCATCTGCATACAAAATCTCAAATAACAACCCCTCCATTATGTTTCCACACACAACATCCATCACAATTGCAAACAAAAACGGTGATAACACTGATCCTTGATGCACTCCTACCTTAACACTAAAAGCGTCGGACATCCCCCTTCCAACCCTCACCTTTGTCTTTGCCCCTTCATACAGCTGCATCACAGCTTTAACAAGTCTCTCATTCACTCCTTTCTTCCTCAACGCCCATTCAATGACCTTCCTCGGTACTCGATCAAAAGCCTTTTCTAGATCCACAAAACACATGTACAATCTTCGTTTCTTCTTTCTATAACTCTCCTGCAACATTCTCACCATGAACAACGCATCCACCGTTCTCCTACCAGGCATAAACCCACACTGCATTTCATTAACTGTCACCATATTTCTCAACCTCCTCTCAAGCACCCTCTCCACTACCTTCATTCCGTGCTCTAGCAATTTCACACCCCTATATGACCCACAATCTCTCACATCTCCTTTGCCCTTATACAACGGCACCAACACACTGTGTCGCCAATCCTCAGGTATACCTTCATCATCAAACATATTTCAATTCCTTTCACCCCACTCGCTTTTATATGTTCTACCGTCACTTCCGAAACCCCCGTCGTCTTACCTAGCTTCATTTCTCTAACTGCTTTCTCTACTTCCTCCATCGTCACCTTTTCTATAGGTCCGTGTGTGACCGCGGATTCCACATCTCCATCCCACTCCTTCTCTTCATTCATCAACCTTTCCATATGAGCTTTCCACACCTGAGCTTTTTCCTCCTCATCTATGCACAACTTGCCAGATCCATCCCAGACACATCCATTCCCTATAACATCTTTCCTATCCCTCATTGACTGCTTTGCTACTTTGAACATTTTCCTCGAACTCACATCAAATTCCATTTCCTTTATTAACCTATCTGATGCTTTCGTCATTGCAGTTGCCACTTCCTGTTTTGCAACCTTCTTAGCCTTCCTATACTCAGACTCCGCTTCCTCCTTCATGTTCCTTCTCCATACCCTAAACCTCTCCTTCTTGACCTCCAAAACCCTTCTTATATCTTCATCCCACCACCACGTCTCACCATGCCTACACTTTCCTTTCGTCCATCCACATACTTTATCTGCCGTAGCCAACACACAGTCCCTGTATCTCTCCCAAACATCTCCATCCTTACCACTCTCCAAATTTTCAGCCACCTTCACTTCAAAAACCTTCCTCACCTCTGCATCCTGCAACTTCTATGTCTTTCTCTTTGCCACAAACTTATCCTTCTTCCTCCTCCCCATTTCTTTTGATGTCACATCCATCACAACCATACTATGCTGCAGCATACCAGGTATCGCCTTCACATTCTTCACATACTTTTCTATGTTTGGCCCTTACCAATATATAGTCTATCATTGGCCTATGCTCCCCTGACCTATATGTAATCAATCGCGCTGGTTCCCTTGTAAACCAGGTATTCCCCACCACCATGCTATGTGCATCCGCCAACTCCAACACTCTACGCCCTTCCTCATTCCGTATACCAAATCTCCATCCCCCATGTACACCTTCATATCCGTCTGCATCCGCCCCCACATGACCATTCAAATCACCCAACAACACCACAAACTCATCCAACCCCGCTTGCCCAATCTCGTCAGAAACATCATCATAAAACCTATCCTTCTCCTCTTCCTTCCTACTTTGTTTCGGAGCATATCCTGATATCACCCTCACTATTACTTTTCCAAACACCATCATCACCACAATTACACCATTGCTTCTCCGCCTCACTTCCAACACCTTCTCCACCAACTCTTCTCTTACCATCACACCAACTCCTCCCGTACCATCATCCCCCTTCCACCACAACTTATATCTTCCATCTTTAGCCCCCACAAACCTTGTACCCTTACCCTTCTATCTGATCTCCTGTAATGCAGCAACGTCAACCATTCTCCTCTGCAGCTCCTCCACCACTTCCAAACTTCTTCTTGTCAACGTGCCTACATTCCAGGTACCATACCTCCAACCCCTTGGTCTACAAGTAGTCCTTCCATCTATAGTGCCTTGCACCGCCACACTATAGAGTGGGGTGCCAGTAGCCAGACCATCCACAGGGCCTTGCACCACAACCCCATGGACTGGGTCTCCGGAGATTCTTCGCACCTTCTTCTGCCGGATACTGAGGGCCATTGTTATTTCCGTCATCATAAGTATTATTTTTTGGCTAGTTTTTACGCAGAACGCCCTTCCTTATGCAACCACAGTTATAAGCGGTGGGCCTAGCCTTTGATGATCCAACATCACTCACAAGGCAGTGAGGGTCAGTTTAATTTCATAACCAGGACAGCATAATTTACTTAAAATACTTTGAAATACACTTGAAATCTGTCAGTAAAATTACCTTATATTTGTGCTTTAAATAACATGCTGAAAGAGAATTATGCAATTTTATTCACTTATTGGCATCAATTTTAGTATTAAACCCATTCTAAAAAATAAATTTTGGAATGAAAAATTAAGAAATTTTCAAATTCTTAACACTTTTTGGAGTCAAATGAAAAATACCTCTGGCTCTGGCCCCTCAAAAAATTCTGACTCTGGCCCCTCAAAAAATTCTGACTCCGGCCCCTCAAAAAATTCTGACTCCAACCTGCTCCGACCGACTCTGATTATAAACTACGATTTAAATGGAAAGAGTTATGGTCATGATCAATTAATTTTTAATAATATTTTTATTATTGGAGTTGAAATAATCATAGTGACAAAATAGTAGACAAACTATTTGATAAAATTTCAGAAAAACAGGATTTTATGTGGTGCAATGGATTATTCTCCTATCAGTGCTTCCTGTATAAGATCTTTAACAGGCAAGAGTATCAATAAATTTTTGTAACTTTTGAAATTATTTTTCGGAAGACTTTATTTTCTGTAAATATTTATTTTTGGAAAACAATTTAGATTGATAATTTTCAACACTTCAGATAAATTGTATGAGAAGCGGAAAGTGGCTGCATTAGAGATTGAGAGGTTGCTACTGTTTACATTATATGATTCACATTTTATTTCAATCCTTTTATCAGAGCAAACACTTTTGTACATATTATATTATTATTTTTAATTGATTTATTTGAGGGTGTTATTTTCTTATAGCAAAGATTTATTTTGAAATCTTTGAAAGAAATTGTCCCATGTATGTTGTGATAATGGATCATTGATTTAAGGATGGCTTCTCCCAATGTTTTTATATTTTTATTTTAATGTCGTTGGATTAGTTTCCAAAAACTATTTTGTTTCACCAGAAGAGCACAGAGTTTTTCATGTTCTTGACTTGTCTAATAAATTTAAATTTAGTGTAGTTCAATTTTACCATCTTAAGAGTTTTGATCTGCTTCCACTCACTTTTACATTTGAATAGTGATTTTGAATTACTATATATGTAAAATTAAAAAATTTAATTTTCAGATCCGTCAAAGAATTTTACAGTAACAACGATAACATTCATTTACAAAAGATTCTTAATATTTTGTGTGATTTGACGTTATCTCAAAATCCCAACAACAGGAAAGGTGGATTGATAGGACTTGCTGCTTTTTCTATTGCTCTTGGAAAGGTGTGTAGCTGTAGAATGTGGTATGTTTGTGTGTGTGTGCATATATATATATGATACGATACGATACGATCTTTTATTCATTCCAAATAAAAAAATTATGAAACCATGATGACTGTGATAAAGCTCATAGAGAGCTCATCTAGCACAGCCACCTGAACCCAAATGTACACAAATTAACATATGTCAACAGAAATTAGAATTAAATAAAACATCATTTCTTTTTTTTACATATTTTCTCTGTCATTAAAATTTAACAGAAACAATTTTAAATTTTTCTTGAACATAGTAAGTGATGTTCCGTTGTAAGAAAATTCATTTTTTAAAATGTCATTCCAAATCTTTGGTCCTCTACAGACAACATGAGAATGCAACAGATTTGTTTGCGACTTGTTGGTCATCAGATAACTGACACGTCTAGGGTTGTTGACTACTTTGAAATATTCGTCAAACGTTGGAGGAAGCTTTTTGGAAAGTTGCTTGAAGACAAAAATGGCTGTGTAATATTTACTGATCCGATCCAAATTTAAATTATTAGTGGAGAAGAATAATTGATTTGTATGGGTGAATTGTTTAGACAGCGTTATCACCCTTACTGCTCTCTTCATCAGAATTTTAATTGAATTTGTTGTCGAAGGATACGCGCCAGCCCACACAACGTTACAATAATTTATGTGAGGTGTGCAGATAGCATTATAATGGAGATTCAAACATTTTTTAGGAAGGTAGAATTTTATTCTATTAATTATGCCTATTGATTGAGCTAATTTGTTGGAAATGGACTGAGTATGCGCCTTGAAAGTTAATTTCTGATCTAAATACACTCCAAGGAATTTAATTGTTTTACTTTCTAAGATTTCATTTTCATTTATCACGATTTTGTAAGGCTCCTTTTAATTTAAACACTGAACAGGTCCAAATATTATCATCTGTGATTTAGTTTTATTTATTGTTAGTCTGTTACTTAACATTTGCAAACTCCGTGTTTGTTTTTAGAATGATTTCCTCAATTAATTTACCATTACTAAAAATATTGGTGTCATCAGCAAAACATATGTAGTCGAAATAGAATATATATATATATATATATATATATATATATATATATATATATATATATATATATATATATATATATATATATATATATATATATATATATATATATATATATATATATATATATATTATTGATAAAAATCACAGCCTCATCAATCAATGAATTTTGAATTTTTTGGTTTTCTAGTTTCTAGTTGGTTGTGGTTTCTTTGCTCTGTATTTTTTTCTTAATTTTATTGGTTATTATCGAGTTTTTTTATTGAATTCGTTTGCGTTTAATGGTTGAGTTTTTGTTGAATAAGGTGTTATAATTTTTATTACAATTAATTAGTTGCAGTTAATTTTGTATTATTTAATTTGTCTATCTTAATTTAATTATAATTAGTGTTAAATCGACGAAATTGGACGCCTATAGTTCAATTACAGCATTCAGCTGCGTAAGAATTTTTTGTGTTGCATGTTCTGGCTCATCACCAATCGAGAGAATTGTTTACGAAAAAATTGAAACTGGCAACTTAGCAGTATTTGATGAGATTAAAATATGAACGAATTGAATAAGGATTTTAAACAGCAGATTGACGCCATCAAAACAATTATTAATGAGGATTAGGGTAACCTTTCGAGAATGGATGCTTCTGGGTCAAAGCTATGTGATGAAATATCTGTTTTGAAGCGTGAAATGAACAGATCTTTTTCGGAAGTTGTCAAATCTGAAGTTGGTAGAAGTGTGCAAGCAATCAATGATGATGGGAAAAGTGTTCAAATAACGATGAACAAGATTGTCAATGCAAAGGAGAGGGAAGCCAACATGATGCTGTTCGGATTGAAGGAAGGTTCTGATGATGGTGACAGGGCCCATAAAATAATTAACCATTTAACTGATGGAGTTTTTGGTCTTAAAAATATCTTGAAGGTGATAAGATTAGGAAAGAAAGGTGACAAAATTGTCTGACCTATTTTCCTCAGATTTGACGATGCAAAAATTAAAGAACTCATTTTCAAAAACATGCGTAGGATGAAAACCTTAGATGACGGTTTGAAAAATATTCGGTTAAGTCATGACTTGACAATTCAACAAAGGAGCGACTTGAACAAATTACTTGATGATGCCAAGAAGATGGAGGTTAGGGCCATCAAACCAACCTGCTACCACATGTACAATGGCTAGTATGAATACATATTACACACCATCCTTTTCTTCAACAATTAAAGGTGCATTATATTGAACAGCTAACTAGTTTTAGACGCATTTCAACCCATTTTTTGGACTCATCTGTAGCTTGAGGTTTTTTTTATGAATTACCAAAAAAAATACCCTAGCTTGTAATACTATCTACTAAAGCAGTAAATGCACTAAGTTGGTGTTTCAACTCAGACTACTGAGTGTCATAAAGGATTGAAAGGTGTCTAGTCTAGATTGAGTTAGATATTCTCAATAATACCCCTTTGTTTGGTCATGGTGAGTGGTGGTGTACTCCTACTTTCTGAAATAAACTAAACATTTCAAAATAAATTTTTCAAATCTGAAATATGTACTCCTACTGGCCGTCGTGCTTGCAATAGCAAGTTGTTTAGTTCTCACCCATATATGTATGTGTATATATAAAAATATTATTATTTTTATTAGTATTATTAGATTATTTATATTTATATATAAAGCGCTCTTTATTATTCTCAAAGGCGCTAACAATGTAAAAGTTGATTAAATGCGCTAATGCAAAAGTTGGTTAAATGTTTCACTTCAATCAAATCATATCATCAAAGTTTGTCTGAAAAGATGGTTCTTTAGCTTTCTTCGAAATTCAGTAATTGACAACCCACGATTTCGCAAGTCAACCGGCAAACTGTTCCAAATCTTCGGTCTCATAACAGCGAAATCTCTGCAACCAACGGCAAGCTGAGTTTGTCGAATTGTTAACAAATCTAAATCGTTTGACCGTAACTTCTGACACTGTAGCGGTGCATTTCTTGGAACAATTCTATCCATTAAATATTTCGGCGCTAATCCATTAATTTTATACACCAGTAGGGCAATTTTAAAGACAATTCTTTGTTGAACGGCAACCAATGAAGATTGAAGAGAATAGGAGTAACATGATCAAAATGTGAACCACCTGTTAACAACTTGGCAGCCCGATTTTGAATTAATTGTAACTTTGCAACATACTTTTTGGGTAAACCGTAGAATAAACTGTTGCAATAATCGATCCTCGAGTGAATGAACGAGTAAATTAAACATTGCAATGTATGCATATTTAGAGATCCTTTGATGAGTCTCAATTTTCTCAATTGGTAAGTACATTCTTTAAACAACAACTTTATATGCAATTGCATTGTCATGTTGGTATCAAAAATAAATCCAAGATTTCGTGCTAACGCACAAAATTCGATGACAGATTCCTTTATTCTGATAGTGTTGATACCCACTCTATTCACTTGTTGCTATGTACCCACAGGCAAAAACTGGGTCTTGCATTGGTTCAACTTTAATCTGTGCCTCATCATCCAAACATCAATGGCTGATAAACACGATAGTAAATCATCGACCAGGGAGAGGAGTTGGCTATTATTTGGATGTCGTCAGCAAATGCATGAAACCTGAAATTTTACGACTCAATTATTGTGTAAACATCTGCTGTATAAAGCAAAAAGAGAATGGGACCTAAGACGGAACCCTGTGGTACACCGTATGACAAAGCATCGACAGCTGCCAAATTTGTTTTGAATAAAATTTGTTGAGTACGACCAGCAAGGTACGACACGAACCACTTGTGAACGACTCCCGATAGTCCAAATGTTTGCTTCAGTTTTTTTGAGAAGTATTGCATGATCGACGCAATCAAACGCCGAGCTCATGCCCAAGAGAGCAAGCAATGACACATTTTGTTCGTCCATTGATGAATACAACCTTGACGAAACATCAATTAAAGCTGTTTCCGTCGAGTGAAACACACGATAACCCGACTGGTGAACCGGCAGAAGATTATGAATTTTCAAATGAGAAGCAAATTGTGATAAAACGATTCTTTCAACCAACTTTGACAAAAACATAAGGTTAGATACAGGTCGGTAATTTTTTAACTCATGTCTATCAAGAGAATTCTTCTTCAAAATCGTTGTAACAACAGCATTTTTAAACGCAGATGGAAATGAGCCAGAACTCAAACACAAATTTATGAAAAACGTTAAAAACGGTAAAAACAAATCAACAAATCTTTTAAGAATTTTTGTGGGCACACAATCAAGAAAACAAGACTTTGATGGAGACTCTAAAATGACTTTTTTTTATGTAGCTATCAGTACAGGGCGAGAAGTTTGAAAAAAAGATTCTTCATCAAGATCACATGGAGTGAATGTTGGTTCATCACAATGATTGGTTAAATTACGAACATCATCAATTTTGCTTTTGAAAAACTTGGAAAAGTCAAGAGAACTATGGTCAACTTCTGATACATCCATTACCTGTTCCATTCCAAGCAAACCGTCAACGGCATTCCAAAGACGTTTTGGTTTGTTGCTATTTGATTCCACCAAGTCGAATATATATATATATATATATATATATATATATATATATATATATATATATATATATATATATATATATATATATTATAATACTATAAAATAATAATAACGAGGGCGACTTATAAAACATTTTCTCATATCTATGTATATTCATGAATAAAAGTTAAAAAATAATTGCGAATAAAATAAAAATTTGGTTCATTAAACTCAAAATGTTAAATAGCATCACAAAATTATCACAAATATATCACAAATTATCCAGTACTCTATTCAACGTCACAAATTAACTTTCGTTTGCACAGAAAACATTATAAACGTAAATAAAATTAAAAATTGGTTCACTGATCTCAAAATGGTAATTTGCCAGTACTGTCACATAATCTCTGACACAAAGTCTGGCATCACATTAAACACAACATTTAATCGTCCTGGTATCTTTTTTCGTCATCACCGGCCAATCGGAAATTTTCAGCCAGCCAGCCAATCCACGCTCCTCTAGCTAATCATCGGGTTGCCTGCCTCCATCATCTCTGGCCAATCCACACTCCTCAGTTGATCAGCCGGATGTCTTCACTATCTGTAACCTTCTCCATACTTTTAAGTTGATCAACGTGACCTATCTTCTGCTATTTTAACTTACGTTTAAGCCCATTATTTATTTATATTTATATTTATTCATGACCGCCACCTTGTTATTACCAGCACATCTGTTTTCCAATCATTCTTAAAATCAGCATTTATATAGTGTCTATCAGGCCTATTTTAAAACCATTCACACTGCATGCATTCACAATTTCACTTTGTAATTAATTCCATACTGGGATTATTTTACATGTAAAAAATATTTTTCGAAAATTATGTTTGAAAATGGGTCTAATCAATTTCATATTATGACTTCTTATACGGAGTCAGAATTAAAGTCAATGAATTAGTGTCTCCATAGCGCGGTTTAATTATTCTAAACAGCCTTATCGTATCCCATCCCCTTTCATACGTCTATAAGTTACTTGTGAAGAAAATGTATGGGCTTTCAATTTTGACATTTATTTTTTTTAAATTTTGACAGTTGTTTTTCCGAAACATGTTGATAAAAAGCGTTTTATAAATACACTAATAATATATTGAAATAATAATGTCATATTTTAAAATGATTAATTAATGTTTAAAATGTAGGAGACGGCACCTTTTGTAAATGATTTGGTGAAACCAGCATTGAGCTGTTTTTATGACCCAGACAGCCGTGTGAGATATTATGGGTGCGAATCCTTATATAATATTATCAAAGTTTCCAGAGTTTCTGTTTTGCCTCTTTTCAATGACATTTTTGATGGCCTAAACAAAGTAAGCATTATATGGATTATTTTGGTGAATAACTCAGTTTAAAAGATAAATGCTTATTATATGTTACTATTTATAAAACGGTACAAATAGAGTCAAATTTCAAAGTGATCAAAGATTAAATATACTGATAATTTATTATCTGAATTTTTGCAGCTCTCAACAGATCCTGACCAGAATGTTCGCAGTGGATGTGAACTGCTCAATCGACTCATGAAAGTTTGACTCATTTAGTTTTTAATTATTTTATAAAATACTAGCAACACATGCAAGTTTTAAAATCTATTCCAAGTTTTGAGAAAGTGAGACTAAGCTGATGTAGAAGAGATGGAAGACAGTCGGACCAACAATGTCAAAACCGCGTGCACCAGTGTGCAACAACAGCTAGAGGGACCGTTGAAAGATTTCGGTCATTAGACCTCAGTCCCTGAGGTTGTGCAGAACAATCTTTGGCTTACATTTATCGATCATCTAAATAGGGGCAAAATTATTTGCACACATGTAAACGAGGATAGTTATCATTCGTTTTTAAGCTGTTAGCCAATGTTGGTTGCTTAAAAAGGAGTTCACATGACCAAATTTTCTAACCCCTCCCACAATCATGGTAGCATGATTTTAAATCGACTGAAATTTACAAACCAATTTTGCTGGTGTGCCATAAAAAGTGCATTGCATTAGTCAATTCTAGAAAGGATGAAAGCGTGCATCAACATTTTTGAAGAATCTGTCTAAGGAATTTTTAACCATTCTTTGCCGACGCAGCTGCTGGCACTGCCACCACTATCGAGACAACATTTGAACACGATGATACAATGACAAATTTGAATAAAAAATACCACATAAGTTGCTAGCTTGACTACTAAATTCGATTTCCTGGCCATCTATGGTGACTGAATCAAATTACAACATTGAATAGAGTTGCCATGCTCCCGCAGGGGAAAGCTGCATCTTTCCCTGGTTGAGTCTAGGGCCGAGTCACGACATCCACTGACCAGCTTCTTTTTTTCGCAAGACAGGGAAGTAATGATTGAACGCTATATTGTTAGTTTTCAAATGGTTTTCAATTATGTCCCTGCTGCACGAGCCAACATTGACCACATAATAAATAATTTTTTTCTCTATAATTTTTGATGCCTTCAATAAGTAGTTGACACCAGTACCATACACTTTGTCGGATTTTTTAGAGTCTTTTTCACTGTTTTTATCTTTAACAATCATAAGACTACCAATAGACTTTTTTCTTTTCTTTGGTTTTTGCACAAGCTAAAAGCTATCAGAATCTAGTTCATCATTAGATTCGTTCATGGAATTAGCAGCTAAAACTAAAAATTTGCTTTGTTTACAACGTCTACAGGTGCATTATTAACAGATACGTTTGTTGGTTTGAAGTTTGTTGCACAAAATTTATTTATTTCTTGCGTATGGTTTGAGACAACAGAGCGCATTTTTTCCATCTAACGCATCCATTATGATCGTTTGTTGCATACTAAACATGGCTTTAATGTCATTTTTAGCCATTTGAAAATTTAAATTCAGCCAATTAACAACATTCGGAATTCTTGCTAAATCAGCAATTTTATAAAAAGAACATTTGTCAAGAAAACCATTAAACTTAAGTATTTTTAGAAGAGAAATGCATTCGAGAATTGTATCCCTTTTTAGAAGGATTCCCACGAAATTGAAATTCAATTTTTAAGTTATCGTTTTTTAATATTTCTAAATTATTTTTCAAAATTTTAACAGCAGTAGCAACTTCTTCAACATGATAAAACTTTATAACATTAGAAATAAATGTTTCATTCTCTAAGTTATTTGAGTTATTTACTAAAAAGAACAAAAATTCATTAATAACAATTGACCGATCCGCCATGTTATTTACATCCAAGCTTCCGACAAACAACAAGTAAACTTATCCATCAGACTTTTGAACTGCATAACTGAGCTACTGGCAATAATTTGAATGTTGTCAGCAAAGATGTGACATTTAAAATCAAACTTCTTAACAACATCACAATAACCGATCTCAATTATCTTAAATTCACATTTACAATGCTTTTACAAATTTGCAGTTGAAAAAGTAAATATAAAAGATTAAAATAATGTAAAAATTTTTGTTTTGTTTTTTTTTTTTTTTATTACGAAAATATTTTTATAGCAATTTCTTATTGCTATGGAATGGTTGGTTATTTATTTATATTTATATTTTATTTGAACAAAGCACGGGCAACTGCCCATTGCTGAATTACAGAGAAAAAAATACATTTAAACCACAATATAAAAAAAGAAATAATTTTACTATAACATATTAAAAAAAACAAAGAAAAGAAAAAAGATGTCAAGATATCATAGGATCAAAAAATGTACACATATACCCATACTACATACACACACACACACACACACACACACACACACACACACACACACACACACACACACATATATATATATATATATATATATATATATATATATATAAATCATGCGCCTATATATATATATATAACCAATAAACTATAATATTCAATCAACATCACTTTACTCATTCATACTATTGCTACAGCTGATATGCTCAATCGTAACAACAGGTGGTTCAAAGAAAGCCAGCAAAAATAGTTTAAGGAGTTAGTAAAAATAAAATACCTTCACAAAAATATAACATTACTAACCAAATAATTATAAGTGCAACACACACACACACACATGTATTTATAAAACAAATATTAAAATAAATGCATCAAATCAATCATTCATATACCCATTCGTTACTGCCAAAAAAAAATCAATCCGCCACTGGATCCAACAATTTCATCAGAACCGCGAAATGTTAGACCTCTTTCTGAAATGAAAATAATAGTTTCAATAACACGTTCTAGAACTTTTTTCCAGTAATCTCGAGTTTCCAAAAACTGTGATTCCAGCTAGATATCAATTCGCTCAAATATATTACATCTTGAGTGAAATTTATTTACAGCCGTGATATGTTGGATAGATACATTTTGCATGTTGACTGACATAAACAGAATTTTTCCAGTCATTAAATCCCGTGCAGAATAGCCCAGATTTCTTATCCGCGAACAAACAACAGTAGAAGCAGTAAACTTTGTGCATGCTGGGTGAATACAAAAGCCATTCACGTTTTCCAAACTCCTTATTTGGTTTTTCATAATTAAATAATGCTTTTGTTAGATAACGGCTTTGATTTAAATATTCACGTTTTTTTACTGTAAAGTCAGAATCCCAATTTTGATAATTTTGAGGGCCTTGCCATATTTTTTTCAAGAGAATTGCCATAATTCTCTTGACAATCAGTTAGATTTCCAGCTGTTCCAGAAGTATTCGGTTTCTTTGAGTCATTAGAGATTTCCTGATGTTTTGTTGAAAAGTATGTAAACAGCGTTGTAGTTAATTTCAGCAGAGCCATTTCTTTTTTCTCTTTTTCTTCGGCAGTTTTTAATTTTTCCCATCCTCCTTATTTGTTTGACATTTTTCTATTCTATATTACTTTACCTTAACTCGCTGGAAGATTTAAAAAGTTAAAAAGGATCAATTCAAAATATTTAAATTCTAATTTTCAAAATATTTCATCCAATTTTTAATAAAATTTTATTTCATATCAAAAATTGCTTGTAATTCCTAACACTTACACTTTACACAGAGCGATTTAAAGATGAATTAATAGTAAATTTACTTTCTAACTTTCCGTTAATAAAAGTTAAATAAAATTTTAAATTTTTGAGTTTCAATTTTACGCATAAACCAGTAGATTGATTTTTCAAAAATCAACATGGACATATACATAAACTAATAACATATACTGGAAGTGGATAATTATCGCTCACTACACCATGTAAGTATTCGTTTCATAAATTAAAAAATTTCAATTTAGTAAATATAAACATAATTTTTAACGGAATATGACACTATTAAATATAACGACAACATCGAAATGCGTACGTTTGAGCACAAAATTATTCGTCCAAAAATTATTGTTCTACGGATAAAGGAACACGCAGACAATCGGCGATTCAAATGTTAATTATCGCCTCCAGCCAGTATGTGTATGAACATGGACAATCCTAATTTTTTTTGGTGAAAACTTTAGCTCAGCATTTCGCTTTTAAGTAAGTGTAATGATAGTTATGTCATTTTTTTAAAACAAATAAAAAAAAATTAAAATTTTATATTGTCTCTATAAATTGTAACATGGTTCATTAAACACGCTTGTGATATAATAAATTAGGGCCGATTATTTGGCAGGGCCTAAGGCTATAGCCTTATTAGCCTAATGGTTAATCAGGCACTGACCAGGTGCTATGGCATTTCTTGCACATTTAATTCGTCTGGTTGCAAGTTCTATTATCTCTTCTCTGTCATCCAGCAGCATTGCCGTTAGAATATTTTTTGGGTAACCAAAAAAGCATTTCTTTAAATACATTTATTTATTATCTGGAGTTCATTTTTAGGAAGAAAATGCGAAAGTTGAATCAAGCGCCACAGGTGTCTAGTCTTCATATAACACTGATGTTGTATTTTTATAAAAAAAAACCATTGTGGAGCATAAACTAGTAGAATGTAGTCCGTAAGCAATGTGAGTTCTTTAGAAGGTGACGTGATTGAAACATACAAACGTATTTGCTGCTGTAAGCCAACGTGAATGGATTAAAGGATCAGGTCCTTTTTTAGTTAGTTCTTCTGATACTTTTCCAATTTCTTTTGCTTTAACTATGCTGAAAAGATACTGCTGATCTTTGCTAACATTCATATTTGTGATATCCTGTAGACGTGTCGGCAAATTATTCTGCCGTTTATCAAATTTTACAACAGTTAACTCTACATTTTTCAAGTGCTTTCCCTATTGCTCCACAAAAAGCTTTAGGCCCGTAAGTGATACCATCCAAGTGCACTACAAGATGTCTTAAAGGTGGTTCGTTAAAATGGTACATACAAATTAACCATTGTACAGGACGTTTCAGATTTAATTTTAATAGCCTTATTGCACCGTTGTTCAGACCAGTATTTATATTAGTTCCATTTGTACCTATAGCAAGTACATTACGTAATGATATTTCATTATCTTTAAAAAAGTCTATAATTGCAGTCTTGATAGGTATAGAAGATCCAGTTGAAGGAGAAACGTGACCTAGGTTAACCGAATTTGGCTCCTCAAGTATTGTAGTATGTTCTTCAACAAAAAACCTTTGCTACAAGTTAATGATGTACAAATAGTTTTATCTTTTCTTCCATCAAAGAAAGCTAGAGTTATCTTTGCTTCATACGTTAGTTTGGCTCGAAGCTGTTGCCTTTGTCGTCTCAGCTTTGAGCGGTCAATAATTACTATCCTTTCGTTTTTTTATAACTCCATAGTCTGTGAGGGCAGCTGTGGCTATAGCAGATTCTGCAACATCAGATACGCCATACCTATCGCATTCTCTAGCCAGTGTAAGAAACTGGAGCATATTTATAAAAGATTCTGCATCACACGCCTTGAACTCTTCACAATTACTGCTGCCTGTTTGATCTGAAATTTCGATTTGTGATTCATCATCTGTATCAGAACCTCTTGATTCTCCTACCGTTCTTTCATTACTAACAATAGACTTGTAATAATTCTTTCTCTTTGTTTCTCTATCATATTTTATAGATAACTTGTTAGAAACTGTTACATAAAGAGAACCAATAAACATCTTTCATTTCTTTGATCAGATAGGAACTCTCTTTCAAGAGCTGGAATTTTTGACTTTTTTGGACTGTTGCAATTGTTGAAATCAATACAGTGACATGCTGCTATGTCAAATATACTCAGACCTACCTGCTGAGCTAGCAATATACCTGCATCTATCTTTTGTCTCACCTTTCTTTCTCTTTGTATTGTAACTGTTGGAATACTTGCTTTCAGCCATACATTATTTACATTGTCAGAAACTTCAGAAACTATGACGCTTGATTTCACAGTTTTAGGATGTTTTGTGTATATAAAAGCGTAATGTTACATTACTTCCTGAATAGTTGGCAGTTGACGGTAAGCTAGCTCGCATTCAATATCATAAACTGGACAAGTGACTTTTGCTCGAGTAACCACCGATATAACTGAAATGCAATTAATATATATTAATATTAACAGTAATAACATTTTTTCTATTGTAAATTCTAATTGCAGTGGTAGTAATTAATTAACTAACCTGAAATTGAGAACAAAATGATAAACCAATAACAATTTTATGTAAAACAATTATTTATAATTACAATTAGTAAAGCTGGAACTCTTTGTTTTTAAATTTCTTTTAGCACACGTTTTAAATCAATCATGTAACTTTATATGAAAAAACCGTTCTTTTTCATTTTATGAGCAAGAGTATCGACCAATTTGAACATGCGTCACAACTTCTAAAAATTGAAGCCCAGTTATTCATAATTATAGTAATTGCAGTTGTTTATAACTATTTCCAAATTTATTATTAATTATTAGTAGAGCATCTTGATAACGGTGTTTATTATTTCGAACTAATTAAAAAATTAATATTATCGTGAAAAAGAAAATTTATGTCCTTGACATTATTAATTTTCTTCATTTTAATTCCTAAAATAAAAAGCGTTGTTAGTAATTCGCAGTATTTTTATACTTCCTAACAATGACCATGAATAAAAATAATGATTACTGTAATCATTAATTATAACTTTAAATTAAAATTAATTGTTCTACTAATTATTATGTTCATTGTATAAAAAGCACAATATAAGCTAAAAATGCCAATCCTGCTCCATCTGGCGGCAAAGGAAGATGAGTCTTGATTTTGAAAAAATTTTCATTTCATACTAGATCCATGCCATAGCAACTTTTTATCACTATTCACAGTATTTTTTTCTGACGACCTACCCTTACCAATAGAATAAAAGTATCAATTCAATCTATTCATACCTATCAATCCAAACACAAAATTAAGCGTCACCTCAAAACAAATCCAAATGAGATTTAAAAACACATATATCTGGAGAATCAATCACAGGAGTTTATTCTAGTCTGCGACAACTCTGTTGCTAAAAATATATTTTCTGACATCTTTGTGGGACAGACCTGTGTCTTAAATAATAAAAATCATTCGAATTCAGGACATTGTTAGTGAATTTCCTCAGTTTGATTTGAAATCTTTCATCCCATTGTTGAGGGAACGATTACTTTCTAACAATCCATATTCCAGGCAGTTCATTGTTTCATGGGTTAGTTTTTTCAGTTTATTTTTGTAAATTTTCTCATATACTAACAACAAAATGTCGCTTACATATTTTCTCTATAATTTAATGATTTTTTATTGCTTCTATGGAATATGATTTTTTAAAGTAGGAAATATAGTGAAATAATAAACTAAGTTGAATCATTCGTGTTTATGTTTTGTTATATTATTTATATATATAAATACATGGCCATAGTTGATCAACTGTTGATATACATAAAATATAATATAATACAAAATATATATATATATATATATATATATATATATATAAATAAATATATATATATATATATATATGCAATTATTGATGAAAATCACTGCATGTTTCGCGTTAGTTAGCTTGCTGTTTCATTTTTTTGTTTGCTAATGGTAGATCGTAAATCATTGTTAAGTTTCTTGAGTTCAAAACCAATTTTTTTTATTTATTTTAAGCATGAGAGAACAAAAAGCTTTTCGATGTTCGAATTAATACGTTGTTTATGTGGCCGAATGTTCAAGTTCGTCATCGTTTCTGGCTTGCTTGTGCAGTTGCTTTTCATAATTAGAGTTGAAGTTTTATGGTTGGTGTAATAGATCCTAAGTCTAACGGTTTCTTGTTCATTAATTGAATTGATTTGACTTGTTTCTAAAAAATTTTTCATAATTATTTATTTCGGTTGTTTCATTTTATCCGTTTAATTTGAATATATAGATTATGAAGTTGTACTGAAAAATCGTTTTAATACTTATTTGTAATTAAAAGAAAGAAATTTTATTTGATTAAATACTCTCTACCAAAAAGCTCTAAATACATTTTTCTTACGCGAGATATGGTAGCAAAATTATTTTTAATTCAAAAGAAATGAAAGGCAATTTTACAACGGCTCAAAAGTTGCGCCGCTGCTAATGTCGTCATTGCTCATTAATTGCAGCGGCCCAACCGCTATCACTCCTGACCACTCTTCAGCAATTTCGCTGTCAGATATTAATAATGTTGTGAGCATATTGTTTTACTCGATCATTAAAAATCATTCGCTGTTGATCCTTAAACGATTTTCAGTTTCTTGGTGGGTGAAGTGATTAACTTATAGGTTTAAATTTGATCATATACATTTCTACATGTACACTGATGATGGTGATGATACAAATTATGTTCAAGTAAAGACTGACGTTTTGCCCTTATTCTTAGAATTGTTGTTCATCTATTTTTTAAATAGGTGAATTGAATTAGATGTTATATATTCTGATGATATGCTTGAATTAAGTTACTTTGAATTTTCTGAAATTTCAGATTAAAACTCTTGATGAAATTCCAGAATTAGATGTTGTATTGTATTTGTCAGAATTATTGGACGGTCTTTTTCAAATTCTTGGAGATAACAGCCAAGAAATAAAAAATATGTATTTGTTAATTATTTATTTCGCCGTTAAAAAATTTGAATAATTTCATAATCTGCATTACACGTTTGTAAAGGTGTGAATCTTGTTTGGGAGAATTTCTTCACAGCATTACTGTTTCTAAAAGAAAATTAGACTACGATGCAATAATAAACATTTTAAATTTCCATATCCAGTCAACAGGTTTGCGAATTTTGAAATTTTCCACTTAATTTAAATTTTGTGTTTATTATCTTTACACGTTTTTGATCTTTTAGTTTACTCCTTTAGTTTATTTTCATTTAACAGTTGTTTTTGTCTTGCACAATCAAATGAATGTGAAATGAAATTTATGCATGAGATGGTTATCGGTTAATTAACATCTTGCTAAATTGCTTGTTAAAATTAGCTGAGACGGTAGGATTGCAAAGTGTCATGCTTGTATTGCAAACTAACTGACAAACTACCAAGCTACGACAACATTGATGATTTTGCGTACTTTTTTCAAAAAACGATTTATAACTATTTTGCCATAAATAATGCTACTATCAATTCTCAAGTAATCAAAAACACCAGCTCAAACAAATCTATCAAAGATTTTAACAATAAATTAAAACAATTAAAGTTATTGGGTTATAGTTACAACCACTACTTTGATAATTTAATTAGTGCAACAGGCAAAGATCTGCGAGCCAAACTGTCAACAAAAAAATCAAAATGTGGTAAATCAAACGGCGTCACGTCTCAACTCAAACAACGATTTTGGTGGTTTTGCAAAATAATATTTACTTAAACGGAAAATTTGAGACCACTTTTCAAGGTCACTAAGTGCACACATTTTTTCGAATCAATATTAAATAATGACAACCAGAAAAAGTACCAGCTATCAAACTGAACTCAGCAGCTACAAAAACCTACAACATTTTGCAACACAAGTCCTCCATCACTCGACGAAATATCAACAATGGTTCATAAATATAAAACGATATTTTCACCCTGTCCACTTGATCAAATCTTAATAATGTTATAACCGTGCTACCGAACGCACTAGATTCTAGCGTATTCTAGAATGTTCTAGTGACTGGAACGTTCTAGAGTATGCTGGAATCGGACCATCGGGAAGAATCTAGAAACGACGCTTGCGAAGAGTATATAAGCGCACGTCGCAAGATATTTGTGATTGGTGATATTCGTGATTGGTGATATTCGTGATTGGGATATTCGTGATTAGTGATATTCGTGATTAGTGATATTCGTGATTAGTGAAATTCGTGATTTTGTGAATAGCGATTCGGTGAATTAATTAAAGCGATATTTGAATTGTTTGTTGACGTTGTCATAGCGATAGATTTTGAAAGATTTAAAAGTTAATTGTTGCGTTAGTGCGAATTTACTGGAAATAAACGATTAGTTGATTTCTTCTGTAAATAAAGTTTAATAACTAATAATAGTTGATTTCTTCTGTAAATAAAGTTTAATAACTGTTTGGAGTATTTTATTCAATCGAAGATTTGAACCCGTCGCATCGTAAACCGGTTACGACAGCGAGTATTATAACATTGGTGTCAGAAGTGGGATCTTCGACCAGCGAATTACTACTCGTAGAAAAAGAACACGATGTCAAAACTGTGTGGGTTGAACGTAGTTCAACTACGAGAAGAACTACAGAAACGAAGCCTTGTCACAAGTGGCAACAAAGAAGTACTAGTTGCACGTCTGAGAGAAGCTCTCATTGACGAAGTAAGACCCAGA